TTATTGTATTGAATGTCCGCATCTGAAGATTGGAGCGAACATTGGGTGAGGTCACGAGCCAGAAATTCATATCTTCCATGTGAGAGTTGAAAATGGCTTTTTCGTGGAAAGAATCTGCTCGGCTACCCTCGATGGAAATTGAGACGTGGTCTGCTGCCGCATGAACCGTCATGCCTTGTTTGAGACCTTCAAGCAGATCGCCTTTCTGACGTTGAACCTTTCTTCGGAATTCAGTATGCAGACGACGGATCTCGATGCTGTATTCATCTCGAAACTCAATCTGTTTGTTGTTGGGAGCCTCAGACAGATCAACTAGTCGTAATTGGATAGAGGGGACACGAAGAGCAACAGCTGTTGAAATTTTCGGTTGGCTCATGGCCTTGTCATAGCCAACGATATTCGATATCACATCCTTTTGAAGCGAGTCAATGATTCGCGTAGGATGCTTTGGTTCCAACCCATCTAGTAAGGTAGCTAGACTAAGAAGGAATTTGGGCGTACAAAATCCTCGGATACCAAACGGGAGGTCACACGCAAGATTTGTGTACTTCGTTTGATCATCATCAAATGTGAGAAACACGGACTTATGATTCATTGCAGAGTCTTCCCCCATTGTGTCATCTTCATCCGTAAATGGCAACGGAAGTTCAGATGTATCCAGATGGAGCTTATAGTACGAGAAATGTGGCATTATCCATGGGTTTGCGTCTCTCGTTGCAGAAGACGAGGATGCGCGTGTCCGAGGCCCGGAGTTTAATCCATCTCTCGAGCGGCCGGTTCTTGAGACAGACGGGCTAGATCCTCGGGTAGGCAGAAAAGGCCGTGGTTTGGACACATGATCTGAGGCTGCTCTAGGGCCGTTGGCAGTGTGTATCCGGACACTCTTCATGCTTGATGCTTCTGACTGGACAAGAAAGCTCCTGGCACTTCCCGTGGGACGAGGCCTTGAAGCTCCACGATATGACATTGCACCAGCAGAATCACTCCTGCCATCAATAGGCTCAGGCATTGAAGGTATGGCCATGGTCGGAGGGAATACGTCGTCTTCAGGAGCAAGCGTTGAAGCTGGGCCAGTCTCCTCCCAGTCGAAAAGCAACCACTGTGCCCTGTGAGTCCGCTGGTCGTGGATTTTGATATGTTCTTGCTGAAGTCGACGACTTTCGGCAATATCAGATTTGCGCAAAGCCATCTTCAGCCCAATTGTGAGTTGTAAAAGCCCTATGGGGGAGATCATTTGTTCCCCTGGTGGCTTGTGTTGAGAGAGAGACTGACGATCAACGGCAGCGATCGAAATATCTGGAACGAGAAGGCTCATGCGTTTCGAAAACTTGGTGTTTGCCCAGTCGTTGAAGTTCACATTCAAGGGCCGTGTGCTCAAAATCACAGCTGTTTGGTCCAGTAGCACGGAAACATGAATCGAGTCAATCTTAGCTCTCAAGAAAGTCACGTCAAATAAAAGCTCTGGGAACAGCATCGGCAACGCATTTTCCTCGTTGTCAAACGAGAAATCAAAGCTCTTCAAAGATGAAGTCAAACAGGCCAAGAACTCGGTGGAGCATTCTCCGACAATTCTACCGACTTCAAAATCCCAATTACAAACGTAGGTTGGTTCAAGCGGCGGCAAACCAAACAGACGATGGCCGTAAACCGAGATTCCATCGATGAACAGCTGAGTGCTAGATATAGTGGAAAGACCATCCAGTTGGGTGGTCTCCAAATCAATTTTCAGAGGGGCAATGGAAAATTGCAAGTCCATATAGTAGTTGGTAAAGCGCAAATCCGCTTCCAGTGATGCTGCGCCGAGTCCCATGCACTTCGTGTGGTCATAAATATTCACAGGAAGCAAAGCACGGGGGCCGTGAACCGTGACACGCACAAGCACATCCATATCATTTGACTTTCGGTTTGGGTTGATGCCTGTGGGATTTGACGGTGGCTCGTCGGCATAGACTAGCTCTTGATATTCTTCGAGTGTCTTGAAGTGCATCTCCTCGCCAAAATAGTTCTCTCTGATGGTCATGAAACTCTTGATTAAGAAACCAAAGAGGTATAATCGAGGTGAAGTTCCATCGATATTGAGTATCAGTGTGTCGGTCAGTTCTGGGGATGTTGACTGGAAATAGTTATAGGAGCCGTCAATGAACAAATTCTCGAGAGTGGCCATGGATTTTTGTGGTAAAAATTCATGTAGCGTATCCCATAGAGGTGTCGTGTAGTCCACACTGCCATCTTCAAGGTTGACCCTGAACTCGATGGCATTTTGTTCAGGTTGGTATTTGTTCAATGGTATCATGACATTTGACGTTAGGCGCTTGCCTTTGATGACAATGAATCGGTTGTCCTCTAGGTCCGAAGGATTGCTAATGATGTTCCGGTCGTTGACATTGAGGTAAAGTTGGAAGTCAGAGAAATTGAGATCGAGGTTATAGATAAAAGGCACAAATGCGTAGTAGTCCGACGGTGGTCCCGAAGCCCAGTCACTTACAAGATCGGTGAGAAGGAATATATGATCACGTAGGAGAAACAGCTGTAAGTCCTGGCTTTCAGCAGTAAATTTCCAGGAGCGAAGGCTATTCCAGGAGAGTGGGTTGGACAGATCGCAAGTGACCTGTTGTCGAGGACATTGCCAGAGCAAGCCATGATTGATGCTAGATGATAATCTTGACTCTCTCAAGTCGATAGAGAGCTCATTGCGAAACCCTGCGCTCGATCCCACCATGTCCATGGTGTAATTTATGGTAGAGTCAGCGGCAGCACAAAGGGAAAGCCACCCAAACGGACGAATTTCAGGGCCAAGGTGGCCTTTTTCACCTTCTTTGGCTCGAGCATTCTTCTGGTCATTGGGCTTCTTTGCCCTCGATGCACCCCCAACGGCATCAGCACGACCCTTCCATTGCCAATCCTTGGAAGGCTCTCGTGTCGGAATACGCAATGTCAATTCCTTGTTGATCTCCACGCGCAACCTGAATGCTGTGCTTTGTCGCAGAACACCAGGAACTAGTTGCTCTGTCGGCTCAGCACTGCGATAGAAGTTTGGAAAAAAGACATTCTGCAGGCCAACTCGCTCCCTATCAGCCCATGGTCCGTAATTTATCGTACCCCCGTCAATCTTGATGTCAATTCCCCATTCCGGAGAAGGGGCATGATTGATATTGCTATTCATTGGTTGAGACCGAACAGTTGACGTTGGTTGAATAATGACTCGTCCAGGAATGTCCCAGAAGTAGGCTATATTCAAGCTGGGGCTATCAACAATGGTAGAAAATCTGCCATATTCAACTGAGTTCCATTTTTCATGATCATCCTCGCAACCATCGTCCAGATAACGAGAGAGCCCGGTCCAGCGGACTTCAGGAAATTCTGCCTGGCTTCTCGGCATACTATTAGCGTGTCTGCCATCGATATGGAACGATTCGACAGATGTCTGAAAGTATGGGATCAAGTCTCGAATGCTGTGCCATACTCTGCGCCTCTGGAATTGATAGTTGAAGATATTTTGCGGTTTTTTCTTCGAACCGGGCTCTTTCTCTTGCACAGAACCTAGGTCTTTGGCGGTCGCCGACTGGTTCTGCTTGAAGTCCGGGTTTGGCCGCATTTGAATCACTGGATTATTGAGTTGGAATGAAAATATTTGACGATACAAATCAAGAGGGCCCGAATTGGAAGCGTCGATGGTACCCGTTCCAGTGTCAAATGTTGTTGTCAACACAGATCGGGTATGCTCATTCCCCATGACAATAGCGCCTTTCCGGCAATCCAGTTTCATAGGCAGGAGTTGTAGCATGCTGGATACAGGGTCTGATAGTTCTGGTTCACGAACAGTAGTGCTCTGCGACGCAACCCCACCTCTCTCACTCATGCTGCGCTCTGACATGGGTTTCATGCTTGGCTGATGGCCAGGCGTATCTTGAAAATCAAAGGCGTTACTTGCGTTGCCATCTTCTGCCGTACCGCGAGACCCTGGGGGATTTGAATTGTCGTCGTCTGAGTCAACATTTTTAGGAGAGTATCCAAAGCCAGTTAGGATACTATCATAGGCGGGAGTCCGGTTGTAGATAAACCATTCAAGGCCATACGTGTTGATAGTAATCCGGCACGGTAATTCAGTCGTCTTTCCCATGCCACCTTGCTCCCCAAGATTGTCGTCTGTTCCATCGTGCGGGGATCGCGCATGTTCTTCCTTTGAGGTATGATGAGCAAGACCTGCCTTGCGTCGAATCCCAGTCAAGTCGTTTCGCTCGACCGCACGCGTCCAATAGCGCCATGTTATGAATCCTCCATGAATAAATATCGTCTCGTTCACGCCATGGTACCGAATGCCCTTGAAGAAGATTCTCCCACCAAGTAGGGAGATTTGAAGTGCATTGATATCAACATATGCGCGGTAGTAATGCCAGGTGTATGCTCGAACGGCGTAAGAGATAAGGTTCGCGAAGAGCCGATTGAAGTAGAGCAAAAAGAACAGAGCGCTACGCCGGTGATTAGCGTAAACCAGCCGCGTCGAACAGCGCAAACTTACAGAATGCAGGAGACAATCAATTCCAAGATGAAGAACCTAAATTGATCAGTATAACATCCATGGTCCAAGGAGCAATTCCATACCAATTGAAGCTTGGATCCGGCGTCAGGAAGGCCGATGTCAAGCTTGTACTACCCATCTCTCTCCGCCCGCCAACATGGGCAGCGTCGGCGCGATAGAACGCGAATGACGAGTCAAAATTGACCTCTCATTCATCGACACCAAACTGGCTGGGTCAAATAACATGGAAGTCGCAAGGTGAGGACGTTGTTTAGGAAGTCCGAGAGCGGTGTCACGAGAAGATCGTCATCGGCCAACACGACTCCTCATTCCGAACCAACATTTCTCTAGCTTGATTCCCCCCCATTTTGGTCTTGACCAACATGTTTTACCCCTCTCTCGACTTCGCGGAATGAGCTGGATTATCTCTGCAGGCAGAAATCGGTTCCCAACTCGTGCTTGTCCCTAAGCTTCAGCAATCATGACGACCGCAGCTGGAGGAACAGGCTCCAGCCTGGCACGCGCCATTATCATTGTCACAGGTGTCTCAGCTTTGGTTTCCTCGCTCTTATCCTTTGTGTGAGTCTAATATATCCTGTGTATCCCCACTCATAAGCGCGATCGTGGTAGACTCCCAGGCTAACATGTTGTCTCGAACCGCAGGTCCATATGGTTTCAAGCGTACGAGCTTACACTGTCCCAATTTGAGACCCACAGCTCACCATACATATAGCAAAAACTACCGAAAACCCTTGCTCCAACGCTACGTGGTGCGCATATTGTTGATGTCAGTATTGGCTCGAGTATCAGCTCAGGGGGTACGGACAAAGAGCAGTGCTGATTGAGCTTAGGGTCCCGATTTACGCAGTATCATCATGGACGAGCATCATCTCGCTAAGGGCGGCTCAGTTTCTGGATCCTGTTCGTGACATCTACGAGGTATGTGGGGTTTTGATTGACGATCGAATTGGCCTTTATTAACGGATGGCATTGGTAGGCATTCACCATTTATACCTTCTTCCAGCTCCTCATTAACTTCCTTGGCGGCGAGCGGGCTGTGATTATCATGGCCCACGGCCGCCCTCCTATCTCCCATGCCTGGCCTATGAATCACTTCCTCCCAAAGATTGATATCTCGGATCCCCACACCTTCCTCGCTGTCAAACGTGGTATCCTGCAGTATGCTTGGTTGAAGCCCATTCTGGCTCTCGCCTCCATCATAATGAAAGCAACTGACACGTATCAAGAGGGCTATATTGGGCTCGGCTCTGGATACCTCTGGACAGGTATCATATATAATGTGAGCGTGACGATCAGTTTGTACTCCCTTGCCATGTTCTGGGTGTGTCTGCATGACGATCTCACGCCATTCCGCCCAATCCCCAAATTTCTCTGCGTCAAACTCATCATTTTTGCCTCATATTGGCAAGGCTTCTTCTTGTCTATCCTGCAGTGGCTGGGAGCGCTTGGTAATGTTGCTGGATATACTCCCGACAACCTTGCAGCGGCCATTCAGGACAGCCTCATTTGTTTTGAGATGCCAATATTCGCTATGGCTCACTGGTATGCATTCTCGTGGCACGATTATGCGGACCCGACCATCTCAGCTGCACGCATGCCCGTAAAATACGCACTACGCGATGCCTTTGGTGCGCGGGATTTGGTTGAAGACACCAAATTCACCATTCGCGGTAAGAATTACGGATACCGGGTCTTTGATTCGGGTGATAACATCATCCCTCATGAGGAGTCAGGGTCGCGGGTTAAGCGAGTAATGGCCGGCATGAGGTATGAGCGTGGAGGTAAGGCAAAATATTGGATCCCAAAACCGGGTGAAGCCAACAGCCGCACGCCTCTCTTGCGCGGCGACCCCAGTAAGCGCAGCCCCAGAATTGAGCGGGCCAGTCAAACCTCGAGAGAGAGATTCCGATCTTATAGTGATATCGATGAAACTGCAATGGATGACGAGGATGAGCGACTATTCATCAATGCTCGTGCACTGGAATTCGGAGACTGGAATGTAAGTCATGCTGATGCAGGGTGTTCGCTGTGATCGAGATGCTGACCGTGCATAGTACCCGGTTATTACCGCCAACGAGGTACCAAGGGACCAACGGCTGCCACCCTCGCGGAGAAATCAAGATTCAAACCGAGGCGGAGATGTCAAAAAGGCCCGTAGGCACAGGAAAAGTCGCGCGTCAGATGGTGAGAGTAGGCAAAGTCCCAAGCCAAAGTCCACTAAACCTGGGCCAAGCTCGCCGAGTCCCGGTCCCTTGCAGCGAAACGTCAGCTCCACCGGTTCCACCGGCACGCAGCGCAGCCAGCTGGTTGACCTTGTGGTGGAGAATACGGAGGCCGAGGAAGAAGATCGAGCTCAAATACAAAGAGAGTATGGCTCTGCCTGGGCAGAGCCTGAACCTCGACGATTCTCGTAAGCTTTCAAATGATTGGCGGGTAGTAACCCTAGAGATCCCAGAGCAAAGTTATTAACCCGGTTCCAATTTCTAGAAGACCCTCCGGAGAGCCAATCGAAGAAGAGGCTGAAACCAACCCGACACAGCCAGAGTCTAATTATGACGAAGATCGGCCCAAATGGGCCTACGACGGCATAGAGCAGGACAATGTATGGGGCAAATAGCGCGTTCTGTGATGTATTTTGCCTTTTGATGCATCCTGGATTATGATCATCTACCTTAGTTACTCATTTACTCATTCTCGGTCTCATATATTTGTATCTGCGTTCTGTATATACCCTTCAAAACGCAACAGAATAATGCAAAACATTATGAAACTCCAAGAAATTCCACGGAAATAGAATTATCCTTTCAATCTCTGTAAGCGCCCAACTTCTCATCACGCCAGAAAAGGGCCTTGATAGGCTTGACAGGGTATAGCTCAAAAGAAAAAGCACAGATGTGATAACTCCACCGGGCGCTAACGAATAGTAGTGCTTCAATCAGCTCCGTCACCGACGATCAATGGTGCTAAGTGCGCTGGCGCCAGTATGTGTTTCTTTACTGGGCATAGCCCCCGGTTATTAGTGCCACGATGGTGCGTTCCTGGACGAGTTGGGTAAGGCGCTCATATTTGGGCTTATAGGATGGATGTTCCCATCCCGTCTGAGGGGCTGATTTGCCTGTGCAACTGGTTTGTTCCTTTCCTTTGTTTCTCTCTTTCCCTTCCCTTAAAGGTGATGGATTGATTTCTTGACGCGCTGGTCGCCATCATGCTGGCTTTGGAGAAGGCGGGGTCGTTATTCACTGGTTGGATACGATCATGCTTGACATGTCTACCGGGCGAGGATAGTTGTCAGCCCAGACAAGCCGGGAACGGTATGTATCCGAATACTTCAAAACTCTAGAGATGATCGACTGATATATATCGCAGGCGTTGAACGGGAGATGAAAGTATGCCACACTCAACCACACCTTATCCCACCCATGAAGCTGGTGGTATACGATGACCTCCCCAGTCCAAGTTACCATCAACATCGGAACTCACTGTCTTCATGGTTCAACGACAGCCGGAACTTGGCCTCACGAGCCTCTAACCGGGCAAGCATGTCTTTAAAACGATCTTCAACCACCCCGTTGAAGATCGGCGCACCTTCAGACTTTCGCAGAGTGCAATCTTTCCACGATCACCGGCCACAGTCATTCCATTCTCCCCCAGCACCTACCTATCAACCGTTGGAGCTCCGCATTCATCGATCAGGCAATCGATTGTCAGACCTACCTTCGTTTGAAGCCTTCCAACTAAACGAGAGCCCCCAGCGCAAAACACCACTTGTGCCCACTCGTGCCCTCACGACTTCAACCGACGTTCGAGATCGATATGGCCAAAAGGCATTTGTGGTCTCTCGCAAGCCAGTCGGGTCCCAGAAACGCAGATCACTTGGAAACGTGGAGCCTCTTCTCGTCAAAGAGCCCGTCCGCACCACTAGTACCCTAGTTCCACATTTCTCCAAGGTCACTCCCATCGAGAAACCTCTTCCAGAAGCTCAGGCAGCATCTCCAGTCCACGGCAGGTCAAAATCAGAAGGGACCACGCTTACAACGAACACCCCATGGCCAAGCGACACAAACACCATCCCACCTTGGGGAAGAGTACCTCGGACTCCACCTGCACCCAAGAGCCTGTATACATCATCACCGGATACATCCCCATCCAAGTACTCAGCAATGTCCAGGGAAAGTCCTTCGTCAGCCAGCTCGCGCACGATGCCATCATACTTCTCATCCCCGCGCCGTCCCTCCATCCCACTCCCCGAGAACCGAGACACAATCGATTCAGTCCCCTCCTCTCTTTCCAACCGTGTGACTCAATGGATGTTCCCTACCCCTACCAAGCCCTCTACGCCCCCGAAGCAAGCCTTTGTGCCCGGCGTGAACGGGTTTAATTGGGAGCGTGCCCGCACCCTGAGTGGTACCACAGTCGCATCGACTACCACGACCATCACTGGTGGCGCAAGAGCACGGAACAATAGCTCCATCTCTAGTGCCTTCTCTAGTGCTATTACTCCCCGCACCTCATTCCAGGTCTCCTCGTCTACTGCAGAAAAGGATGTCGACCCTGGTGTCTGCTACCCGACCATCTTTGAAGGCCAACAGCAGCACCATCAGCTGTCTTCGTATCATGACAATGGACATATGCGCTACCATGAGCCCGGTATTGGGTTGGCGTTTTGAGTTCTCTGAAGCTTTTTTGAAGACGACACTTTTAGCCACTCTGGGATTTTGATAATGAGTTACTCAGTTTCCTTATTACCCTGTTCTGGTTTGAAATTTATGTTTCTTGGACTTGGATGGATGCTTGCTGGGTGTTTGCTTTTGGAACCGATTTTATCTCGATTGTGCGTTGGAATACCCCGTTTCGATTCCGGTTGGTTACATAGTTCTAATGTTGCTATTTATGTTGCTGTTTTAAGGGGATTAAATGAGGTACATAGCCTACCTATGAAGTGATAATGAATGCAGTTTCGATATGTCTATATCAGACCTTACTAGATACAAAAAGATTATTCCGAGAAGGATTCTATGTGGGGAGAAAGAAGAATATTTCTACAGCAGAACACAGCTCAAGGCCCATGCTAACACACATGGCATCCAGCCATAATATCCGAATCTATTTGGAATAAAAGTTCATTGTACACAAAGTCTGACGCTAAGTCTCTCTGTAGGGTATCTCAAAACGGACAATGTAGCTGCCAGAAAGACAAATAAGGTACAAGGGAAAAGAAAGGATAAATGACATGTACAGCCACAAAAGATCAATATCCTGGCTTTCATACAACGAAATCAAAGCTTTAGTCCGTGGTGACTATCTCCACACCGTCCGGAGCAGGTGTACTTATGGAATCGGTTTTGCGATGTTTTTGCATGCCCAGAATCTGCCAGGCACGACCCATCATGCCGTGACCTAAGCCCTGGGGGAATTCGACAGAAGCCTTGTGAGCATGTCTAGAGACACGATCACGCATTGCGCGTTCCTGCTTGGCAGCAGCCAGACGGTCCTGTTCACGTTCGTGATTGACAATCTCATCGCGCCATTCGGCCCAGTGCTCGAAGTTTTCGCGCTGCTGGAGTACCTGGTAGCGGAGACGGGTCTTGGACGGGCGCCAAACAGTGCGGCCGGCGTTGTCATTGTTGTCACTAGCTGGGGCAGCCATCGTGGACTTGAGATCAGGGACACGGGACTCCTTGGTCAATTTGAGGAGATGGGTCATGACGTCCCGACTTTCAAGAGCAGTGCGTTGGATCTTCTCTTGTTCGGGGGTGGGTTTGGCACGTGCGAGTGGCGCATCAAGCCAGGCGTGCATGTCAGTAGATCGCTGGACGGAGTATGGGTCGAGGATGTTCGAACGGCGGTTTTCCTCGCGCAGGAAACGTACAGCTGCTTGGAGGCTTTCCACCTCGGCGCGGAGGGACTCGTTCTCGTCCATAGCTGCCAAAGAAGCCTCACTCGCGATGACAGCGCCGTTGCCTGTGGTCGCCAGACCTGCTGTTCCAGACATGCGCTTCATCCGCTCAAGGCGAGCCATGAAATCGTCTCGCTCTGCTTCGGCAGTCTGAAGCTCCTTCTTTTGTTGCTCAACTGTTTTTTCGAGTTCACTGCCTGCTCTCTGAATTTCCTCGATCTTGGCTTCGAGATCTTTGACCATGGCAGCCTTCTTGCTTGCCTCTCGCATCCTGGATTCAAGATGCTCAATCTTTAAGCCCTGCTCTTCGAGGGTATTGTCCTTGACTCCAAGTGCGGCCGACGCCTCGTGAATCTCATTTCTCAATTGGCGGATCTCTTCGTCTGCATCAGGGGATGTCATTTTGTTGGACTTCAATTCCGCAGCACGGGCAACCCAGGGGAATGAGGCTCTCTCAAACTCTGTTGTGTGAGACAGATCTGATGAGATGGAATCAAGCTCCTCAAATTGGTCGCCTACTTCCCGCAATCTGATAAAGAGCAAGGAAACAGGGTCGTTACTTTCTTCCAGGGTTTCGGAGGACGAGACAAAAGACATGGCAGCCTGGGACATGCAGTCCAGAATCTCTTCCGGGCTGAATAGTTCCGTGCGAGCTTCATCACTCGTGAGGACAACAAGATTCTCGCCGAGCTTTCGAGCAAACTCCGAAAGCTGCCTGGTTTCATTCTCGATCTTCTTGAAGGGTTCGTCGGCTTCCTTTGGAAGTGCAAGTGACCTCGAACGCAGATCATCAAGAGATCGGCTGATCTTACTCATCGCGACCTTGTATCCGCGGGCCTGAGAAGCGAAAGTGTCCAATTTGTTCAGAGCAATCAGGTTTTCCTCATCCCCTTCTGCTGGAGCAAGCATCTTGGAACTGATAATGAGATTAACGCGTGAGATTGCACCGGCTGAATGCTCAATGTACGATTGAGATAAATGGGCCCGCATACACAGCTCATCGGCAAACATCTCCAAGCTGGAAGGAAGAAGGGTCTCAGAAAGGTGTGCGAGGAGAGCGATAGACCGCTGCAATTCCACTGCAAACTTTGCAAGATTAACTTCGTCCTTCTTCATAGGCTCGATCCAGAAGTTCAGCATGCGCTCCACTGGCTCCATTTCGAACATTGCGACCTTGATGCTGCCAAATTCCTCAGGCGAGCAAGCTGTAATATAGTTCACAAACCGGTCACACACATTTGAGATCCACATAAGATATTCCAAAACCACATGAGCTTGGAAAAGTTCTTCGTTGGAGACTACTGAGTGCTCAGATCCCTTTTCTTGGAGAGTGCTGCTCATAACATTGGCTTTGAATGCGACACGCTTGAATCGAAGCAAAGCCTGAATAGAATTCCGTTCCCCCTCAAAGTACTCTGGAAGATAGAGCTTGATCATTGAAAGGTGCTGTGCATTTTCCTCAGACTCCATACGGTTCAGTTCGACATCGATAGATTTGGTCAGGGCCTTCGATTGATTGGCCTGCAGTTTCATATTCAAATCCTGCATCTGGCGGTGGCGCATTGCATTTTCGGTGGTCTCTGCCTCTGAAACTTGCTTGGTTGTGCGCATATCATCCAAATCACACTGCAGGTTCGTCACCAAATCCCTGAAACGGGTTAATGTGTATTCAAGGTCTTCGATAACTTCATCCTGTTGTGTGATCTTTCGGCATTGGTCGC